TGAGGCAGAAGATTGCGCCGCGGGCGTCGACGCGGTAGTGCGGCGACCAGATCATGACTTCGGAGGTGTCGGGAAGGAAGTAGCACATCATCTGTTCGTTCCGTGGAATCCGTCCCAGCAGTTCATCAACAGTCTTGCCCTCGGCGACGGAGAATGTCGCCGAGACCCACAAGGCGATGGAGGGTTCGTCTCCGACGCGGTAGATGTATCGACCGTTGTATGGGAATGCGGCAATCTCCGGGTGGTTGTAGCGGACTTGTTTCCAGGCCGTCCGCAGGTAGGCAGCAGGGTCTTTGATGTCGGGGTGGAATTCGAGTTTGGCAACGGCGTTCTTGGCCCAGTTGTCGCGGCCGATGGCGTTGGGGACGTTGCGGGTGAGTATGTTGATTCTCTCGAGGTAGGTCTGCGCGCGCTCCCATCGACCTGGTCGGGTCTCTTTCCAGGTGGCGTCCTCCATGATCGTTGAGTGAAGCGGGAGTAGGAGTGAGGCAGAAGTAAGGGTCAAAAGAGGATGAGTAGTAGTCACGTCAAGACTTTGAGCCAAGAGAAGAAGATGGGCCAAGGGAGGAGAAGATGTCGAGAGAAGAGTATGAGCCAAGAGAGGAAGAGACAAGAGATGACAAGAGAATATAAGACAGCTCAAGAGTTGGAGAACAGGTGGGCAAGTGCAGCCGATATATCGTGCCGCTTCCTGGGGTACGGTCTCACATATATAGTTAAGTGGGCCGCCGTTACAACCGTGGAGTTCAAGCTGCGGATATCGAACGATTCCAGCGGCGTTACGTCGGTGTAGAGATGCGGAAGCGCTAGTCCTGGCGAAGAGGTTCTTTCACCGTTGATACTACACACCTGAGTTCGGCTTGGGCGAAGACAACTTGGGAAGGGCCTTTTCCTGCAGCCACCAAATACACTTGGTCTGAGGCATGACCCTTCAGTGGAAGCAATATTCTACGCTTGTGTGCACGGGCGCACTTCGGGTTTCGAGCGCTGCGTGTTCTGGACGAGTCTGGGTCGTGGTGTCGAGACATATAGCCAAGGATGCGGGTCGAGGCGAACGGCCCGCTGCAAGCTACGTCTAACCTTCCCATCGCGCATCGCCGTCGTCATCATTGCTTTTTGTTCGCGTAGAGGTCTCTCAATTCATCGCTGTATAACAGGAATACTTTTGTTGATAATGGGACATGAGCCTGCATCGTGTGTGTCGAGGGTTTACCGTAAGCCCGATCGTAGTTTCATACCTAGAGTGACCTAGACGTCGTTAGCGTATCCATGTCAAACTTTACGGCAATGTTCGCACTAATAAACCGGAATTTCTTCACGATCTGTGGAAATCGATTTTGTGCGACAGATCGTGGGCTGAAGAGGGTTTGTAGAGAAGAGTCGTGAAAGTAAGAGTATTAGCAGTACACCAACGGAGTACTATATCCGTGCGCGAGGCCAAATGAGCCGTCGTGCGCAACGCGCCGCTGAACGCTCTCAAGGATTTGTAAGTATGAGAGAATGCTTTCAGTGGGTACAATAAAGAGAGATGGCAGAGAGGGACATGAAGTGCATTCGAGGGTTCGCAACAAGGTGTTGACGATGACGGGTAGGAACAGTAGCAAGAGGAAGAGGAGTGTGGTCGTGTGTGATACAGAATTAGGACATCAATAAGGTTCGACAGGCGCCAACACGGTGGTGAGGCGTGAGCACCGACGTCATAGCGTCGATGGGAACGGCTAGCTGCTCCTTGAAACACTGCCATTATCGATAGCGGCAACGCCGACGTGAGCACCAACGACCCAACGAGTGCACCACCTACGTACATCGAACATCGCGACCCGACTAGACTGGTCCATGCCGACAGAGAAATAATATACGAATGCGAAGTCAGCGACCGCCGTCATCCTGTGCGCGTCGCATCACCCCTCATACCCGCACTGACCCCAAGGACTGGACTACGAGCCCCATACTCCACGGTCCAGTACTAGTCCCTATGGCCTCCGCAACAGTTTCTAATGGCCTCCACAACACACCGTGATGGCCGGCAATGCCGAACCTTTTCTCCATCGGACATCCCAAGACCAGGGATCTGAGATGTGCTCTGCGCGCTGCCCAAGACACATCCGCCGGACGCGTTGCATCCAAGTCTCGGGCACTTACCCATGGTTCAACCCGAAAGAACTGAGCGCTCGACTCTATATCCGCCCTACACGCCGGTTCCCAACGAAGCAGAGGTTCTAGGTATCAAATCTCCTCACCGAGTGTCGTGAGCCGAGGCATCGCAAACGAAGGGACAGCATCCACCATATCACATGTCTGGGTTCCTACCATTGCCTATGCACATCCGCGTGCCCTCTCAACGACCGTGGCCTCATGCATCAAGACCAACCGCCGCCTTCCGACTACGCTCCAGCGCATCTATTGACACACATTAACAACGGCATAGACGCGGATACGATTATACGGGTGTGCGCAATGCAAACTGCACCGGGATACTGATGTCACCCAGAGCATGACGGACCGTCCTCTTTCGGCGCGATGCACTCCCGTATACCTCCGCGAACTTCCCCAGAACGCGCGATCGAGCATGCGCCACGGTGCACGACAGGAGACAACGTCGCGATATAACTGGGCAACAATTGTGTGGAGACGTTATATGGTCATCTACGAAATGGCCTGGGTATAGCGAACAGTAGAAGATGGCACAGTGATCTCGGCATAGAGTCTGGAACCGCACTCGTTGGGTCGTTGCTGCTCACATCGGCCTCGTCGTCATCCATGAAGGTTATGCTCCCAATCTACACGTTGTTGCGCAAGCGACGTGAACTGCAATGGTCGGCAGCTCATGTCATATTGCGCATTCCCGAGCGGGAGCTTGCGGTCTTGACATCGTTGCAATCACGACGCGAACATTAACTTCAGCAGCCATGCCCGCCATCGCGTTCGCGTATCAAGGACCTCAGCTGACAGCAAGAAACTCGATTGGTCCTACACATACCTCCCGGTTGAAACTATCACGTAGGTATCGGCAAAGGATCAGAAGAGTTATGCACGATGTGTAATTCTAGGGTACATCGTCGGGCTTGTCCAACTACTGAACATCCTCGTGCTGCCTTGGAGAGTGATGAGAGCGGGTGCAGCGATATCCCCTTCGACAAAACACTTAACAGAGTGACTTGGCCATGTCAAACAAGCGCCGATCTCTCGCGCGCGCCACCGAGAACGTGATGTTCATCCCCTGCGATCGAAAGTGGTTCGCCATCATCTTAAGAATACCTTTGTGGGCGTCTGCGCGCGCTGCTGTGTACACAGTCTTGAGTTCGCGCTTCATCCCGACACTCAGAGCTCGCCGTATTTTGTCTTTCGCGGCCAATCTCTCGTACTCCGTGTAGTTACAGAATGGATCACCGAGCTTATATATTCGCTTATGAAGCGGCCCCAGTGGGTGGTTCAGGATTCGAATGCGAACCTCGCAAGTCTTTCTAAGCGCCATTCTTCTCAAAGTCTGTTTCACAAACTTGTGCAAGTGCTTGGTTTTGCACTTGGTCTGCGCACTGGAAGCCCTCATATTCCCGTTTTGTACTTGCTGCCGTAGATACGTATCGTTGTACCAAGACGCAATCTTCAGACTAACGTATTTGACCGCGGTACTGTGCTTTTGCGGCCCACCTAGGTAAGTACGAAGCTGCTTGCCAGCGAGATGGAAGGTATCCGAGAGCGCAACATACACAGGGTCTATCTCAGCGCGCGTCGGGCCGAGTATCATCTTGGACGCAAGCTCATCGTTGACCTTCTGTAACGGCTTTTGTACCGCGGGATGCTTCACTTCTTCGTATATGGTCTTGTTGAGTTGAAGGAGTGCGGTTGGCATCCGGCATACTTCCCAGCTGCAGATGCATGGCTCGGGGAAAACGGGATCGTAAACGATGGCTGCTAGGTAGTTGTAGATTTGGCAGCGCAGTTCGGTCGGTAGGGCCATGAATGGAGAGGAAGCTGTACCATCTGTCGTAGCTGTAGATGGTCGTGGACTTTGGCAGAGGGGTTGTTTGCGCTTTCCCTTCTTGATGTCGTCGTTCGCGGGTGTCTCATCGCCGGCCGGCTTATTCAGAGGATGTGCGCATGTAGAGGCGCCGCCTGTCTTAACCCTCTTGGCAGGCTTTGCATTCGTGACTGCTTCGTTCTTTCGCTTTGGAGGCATCGCGGCGGTATGGGTCGAGGCTTCTCGTGCGCCGTGTTGCCAGGTGTCGGTATCAGCTCAGTTTGATACTTGAATGTTAAGTGTGTCGGAAAGAATATGGATGAGAGACGAAGACGCGAGTAGCATCTGGACTCTGAAAATTTGCTGTTTCGTTTTTGTGGTTGAGCCGTTCCAAGTTGTTCAATGCTGACCAATGCAGCATCCACGATACATGGCTGTGGCCTGGACGTACCGTCAATGAGCAGAACCCGGCACCAATCAGCTGTACACGAGATGTCAAATATGAGTTTGCCATGCAACAAGATCCACACAAAACCGACGTCGTTGCCAACATAAACTAGTTCCCTGCCACCGGCATCCCTATCCCCAGATCAAAATGAAAAGTCAAACATCTCGACGGGGAAGGCGAGTATAGGTTTCGCGAGACAGCTGGATATCACGAAAGCGAATGAGACGCTTATCATGTCGAAACGCAACACATGCGATGAACTCTTCGCAACGGGAGCGTATCTAACTGATAATATAGAGACGTGCATAGTGTAGACTCTACGAAGAACATTCTTTGCGAACGTAATGCCGGATTCATCGAGTTGGCGTTGCAAGCATATACCGTTTCTTGTATTACCAACTCGATGAGTTCAGGATTACGTTCGCAGTGCTCGATTGGATGCCAAGGAGATGTCCTGACCGGTATGGTACCTAGGTATATGGGCGCATCGCCGTCTGAGAAAATCTCATGAAGTTGAGTATGCTAGACTACGAAAGATGCCTTCGAAAGATGCCTTCGAAAGATGCCTTCGAATCAAAAACTCTGTAGTCCTTAATGCTTCTTCGCGTCCTTCTCTTTCTTCTTCTCCGCGATGAGCGCATTCAGCCTGAGAAAGGACGTGAACCCTTCAACGAGACACGTACCCACCCACTTCCACCAGACCGCATCAAGGAATGTGCATCCGTGTCTTGCAAGCTTCCTCGACATGATGATGGCTTCGATTATGTGGATAGGTACCGTGATGGCCCAAACCGTAAAGCCGATTCGAGCGACGAAGCTCGCGAAGCCAGGCACAAGATACAACACGGTGTCGTAGAGAAGCGATCCAGGCTGCCAGTTTGCCGGCCGCGGTAGCAAGAGCAGGGCAAGCACACATTGCGTAAAATTCCACAGATGAGCAGGACGCACGTACGCAGGCACGAACTTCGTGATGGCGATGTCGCTTCGGCCCAGGGTCTGGAGAGCGTCTTTATCCATTTGAACAAGCCGCTCGCGAGCCTCGCGCATGGCCTTCATCGGTGGGTCGAAGGCGATGACAGCTTGTTGCCCACCACAGCTCAAGACCATCTGGTTCAGATCAATGTCGACCATCTGCGCCGAGCGACTCTGCATCATGGACTTGGAAGCGTACGCTTCGGCATACCGGCGTATCTATGGTCAACATTAGGGCTGGAACTCGAATTCGACATCAATGGTGCTTGAAGTGGGTGGCGCGTACGGAGTCGTGGTGGTCTGCATTCATGTGCTTGATGATCCGCTGCTTTGCGGCTGCATCTGCAGCTTCTGGGGATGTCATGCTGGAATGGTAGTATGCTGGTGTCCAATTGACTGGTTGCTCTCGTTGAGCTCCGAAGGAGGTGCGTATGGAAATGCAGTCGTAACGATACCCGCCAGACCGGCGCAATTCGGGCCGGCCATCGGGGAAGATCTGGTGCGCCCCGCGATTGCGTCTTCCCAACGATCGCTAGCACAACGCTCATGATATAGAATTTATCGCGGGATTCTTTCGACGCTGCGCTACCTCAGATCTATTGTGCACGCTATGAAGACGCGTTCCCATTTCCACGCCAGCACTAAACGGTCTCCCGCACCCTGTGGGTAAACGTTCCGCCAGACCACTGATCGAGGCCTCGCCCGTGCCACAGCATGTCCCAAAGCGTCGATGTCAAGCGCATTCAGCTGACGCGTTGCTCGATGCATCGCTGTTGGGCTTGGTGCGCGCGCCAATGACGAGCAAGCGAGACCAGAGGCACACGAGCTCGCAGCGCATCGGGTTGAGCGGAACAGCTAGACTGTCGCAAGCACGATTTCAGATCTAAAATAATCAGGTTGGCAGCGCGCAGGGATGGGGTCAAGTTTTGGGACGCTGGCGGTGGGGTGGATGTGGGTGCCACATGGTGCGTCAGACTGCATGACGGGTGGCTCGAGTGCGGCAGGGGTAGCAGGTACCTTGAAGCTCCAAACCGGTTCCTGTTCCCAGGCCGCTTTTCTCTTATTAACGAATTGCGCCGCGGCTCTGGACTCGCAACAATTTCCGAAGCACCTTCAGCTCGTCACGCACCACCCGTCTAACTACTTCCCACCCACCCAAAGACCATCCAATCAGCACCATGGCGGACACAGTTGAAGAGACCAAGCAGTCTGTCTCCGGAGAGGGAAACGCGGATGCCAACGCCTCGGTAGGCGCAAAGGGCAGTGCGGAATCATCGAGTAAGAAAACCGAAAGGAAGACGCCGAAGAAGCTGGGCGGAAAGAAGCCTCAACAGCAGCCCACTCCTGACGCCACTCCTGCCCCCGAAAGCGATGGCGAAGGGAAAGCTGAGCAAGAGGACGCAGAATCCAAGAAGCAAACCAACGGCGGCGACGCTGACAACGAATCCGACGAACCCCAACAAGAGAAGTCAAAGTCGCAATCGAGACGCCGCCAGTCGCGTGGCCGTGGCCGACGGGGCGCAGACTCCGGTGCCGAGTCTGATGCGCGATCCGACGTGTCCCAATCTGGAGGCCGTCGCAACCGCCAGCGCCAAAAGAAGGGCGGCAAGGGCGGAGGTCCGCTAGACGACATCACCGAGAACGTCCCTGGAGGCGATGCCGTTGGTGGAGCCGGCGAAATGGTCCAAAACACTGCTGGTAACGCCGTCAACCAAGTTGGCGACACCGCTGGCAAGGCTCTCGGAGGTCTCACTGGCGGCGGCGGCGGTGAAGAGGAGGGTGGAAAGGACGGAGGTGAGCAGCTGAGGCTGCGCCTGGAACTCAACCTCGACATTGAGATCCAGTTGAAGGCCAAGATCCACGGTGATCTCACGCTTGGATTGCTGTAAGTCAAGCCTGCAGTCATTCATCACTGAAGCCAAATGCTAACTTTGCGCAGTAACTAGAAGACGGCCGAGGATGAATGCACGAAACGCATCGATTGTTATATTGGGAGATCATAATGGCGTTTGGTTTGGAGTTTTGCATGTAGTGTTACGATACGTATTGCAGTATAATACGACACAATGAACAACTTGCACCACCATTCATTGCTCAATCATCGCGCTGGCATACTGATGGTGTGATTATCTCTGTAATCCCATCCGACTTCGTCATGATCATCGCAGCGTCAGGGGATTTCTCTACTAGGCGTGTTATTACCAGGCCCTGTAATAATACCCCAGTAACCGAGAGCGCATGCGACGTCAACTCATTGACCATGGAGTAAGGTATCCGAGCCTGAGTCTAAACTTGACAACTATTATGCCCAGGATCGAGTATTGCACAGCCGTTGCCCGCGAGATCAACGGTCCGCGTTAAGCGATCGGCGGGCGGACTAGCCACTCGGGTGGGCGCGAGACTGGTTATGCTTCGCCATCGCTGCGCGCGTCGTCAGCATGTGTGCAAATGTCGGGCGACTTGCAAAGACGCGCGCAGATGCATCGTCTTGACATACGTCACGCAGCGGCTGTCAACCCGATTGGGACAGCAATGGCTGGTGTCGCTCGATGTGGGCCTGACGTCATCCGTAGCGAGCCTGAAACGGTGAGACGGTACGACGGATGAAAAGACAGGGGTGCAGGCTGGCGGCGGCGGCGTCCTTGCTTTGGGGGCTACAGAGGACCAGGCCGTTGCGAGTAATCTTGTTTTTGGAGTGGAGCTGCCCGTACCAGTCGTGGCGTGCGTAGGCGTGTAGTAGCTCCGCTTGCTGCTCGACCTTGCTGACTTCACATCTTGCTCGCATCTATCGCCGTTACCTCGACACCTCTGCGCAACTCTTCACCTCCTTCACGCAGACAATCCCCATCTAGAACAGCCTCCTCCAACCGCCCGAGGCCTTGCATGATAGCAAGGATACCCGACGACATGGCCGACAAGGACTCCGACTATGAGAACCAGCCGCACGAGCGGTCGACGATGCAGCAGGAGAAGGCTGTGAACAAGGCCAAGCAGGACAAGCGCGAGGCGGGCCTACAATCCGCCCGGTCGCGCTCCTCGTCGCGCCGCGCCCGCCGCAACCGCATCGAAGAAGACAAGAAGAACGGCAAATACATGCACACGACGTCGCTAGAAGCCCTCGAGGAAGCCGACGCAAACGGCGATCTCCAGAAGATGGGCATGTTCGAGCGTATCGGCCCGGACAGCACATCCATGGACGGGCCCGTCACATACGCCCGCGCCATGCGAGGCGAGATCCCCATGCGCGGCACCGACCCCAACCAGCCCTACCGCATGGAGCCGCAGCAAAAGGGCAGCGAGCTCAAGGACCAGGACGGCCTGAAGCTGACGCTCGAGGCGAATCTGGAGATTGAGATTGAACTCAAAGCGAGTATCCGCGGCGATTTGACTTTGAGCTTGTAGTAAGTCGACCCCTGCCTTCGCCCTTTCGCTTACATCGAGCCTATACATGACTGTACGAGCGAGCGAAGGCGACGAAGTGTCTTTAGAAGATGAGCATGGACGAGTGCTAATTGGCATCACGCAGCCAATAACACAACTATCGTTGCCCTCTTCCTTCGAATGACATCGTTCGCGTTCGCGTTCGCGCTCGCCGTGCAGTCCAGGCCTCGACCACCACCCCTCCTATCCCTCCCTCCCCCTCGTCTTTTCTTCTTCGCCAGCGTCCTGGCGAGACACGTAGTAACTGAACTTAACAGCGAATAGTGCTTGATGGATGTTGCATTCCCCCTCGTTCCACGACCGTCACGAACCCGCCCCGCAGCCGGCGCCGACCGCGAACAACGGGGCAGCGTTATATGGGGATACATGTTTGAGCGTTTAGGAGTTACACTGGTTGCTTTGTAGGGGCTCGGATAGCATGCGACAATAAAAGAATCGATAATGACCACCCGTTTTGTTAGCCAGGCGGTCGTGTTCAATGCTGTGCATACTTTGGTACCGAATGCAGGCTGCGCGGTGTCGCTCCGAGCAGCTTGTCAGCGCCTGCAGCTTGCAGCTGCGCAGCGCCATACTGCATGTTGCGACAGACTGACATGCGCAGGGCAGACGCTCGAATGAATATCTCAAGGCCGACAAACCTGATAACCGGTAGATTTGCCATTGCGCTGGCCGCGAGAGGGCTTCCTGTACCCTTGTAGCATACGTAAAATCAGGGTTAGGGTTTGCTATGCCTCTCCACACTGAACTGTTTGGTAACGAGAGCCACAATGGCGAGGGTCTCGTATGCGCGCAACCCGCAATATTGCGCGACTGACAGCTTCACACCCCATCTCATATACGTACTGACAACTCAACCCCACCTCATACGAGCAGCCTCCTCCAGCAATCAGTCCTGCATCTCGGCAATAAGCGTGCTCTCCCCTTTTCCGATACCGAGTTCGCCGACGACAAGAATGGGTGCGTTCAGCGCTTTCGTTACCCGCCGAATGGATCCCGAGGCCGCAGAGAATAGCGGCCTGCGGAGGTGGCGCAGACGTGCGAATACGGTCGCAGGAGGTAAGTTCGTTTCGTCTGGCAAGGCTTGGAAGGGCAGTGATGCTGACACGGCATCGCGCAAAGGTCAGGACGGCCACGATGTCAAGGTTTCTTGGGCTAGGCGTGCGGCGAAGGGTCTCTGGCAGCGTGTCCACAACCGTGATGGTCGAGCAAAGGATACTGAGGCGACTGCGGCCGCGTTGAGACTCGAGTCGGACAACAACCTTCCTATGGGGGTGAGAACACAGTTGCTGATCTCTGCTCCTGTGGCTTTCCATTCCGATGACACTACGGAGGGTTCTATTCGCGATAACAACGCGGTTGCGATTGATTCCGGAGGTGCATCAGTACCAGCACATCATGCGCATGGACAGCAGCATCTTGCGGTCGAATCGTCCTCTTTCACAGCCGACACTGTCTCCTCCTCAAGGACCATCACTGCCACCCAATTTGGAAGCCCACTGACACGCTTTCCTCATCATACACATGCGCGCAGTCCCACACCTGACTCGATCCCGGCTTCCACAAGCCCCCGTATCTCGGAGATCTCTACCACCATCGAGTCGCCCTCGGCTTCTGATCTATCCGTTGACCCCTACCGCGAGCTCATCAATAGCATCGACCGATTTCAATTCGCTCTTCTCGTGGACTCCAGCACCATTGACAACATTTGCGGCGACGTACGAGATGTGCTTGAGATAACTAGCAACAACTTGCTGACCGTCGGATGCGACCTCCAAAGGCTTCTGGTCATCTGGCGCAAGATCACCGGCAACGCAGCGAACGTTGCTTTGCTTGAGACGCTAGACCCATGGGCCGTTGTGAGTAAGAAGCACGTCGCAAAAGCCTGTATAGACATGAAGAAAGGACTTCAGTCCTATCGCGACTGGGTGGACATCGTGGCTCGCAACAAGATGATAGCCCAATCTCAAAACGCGATCAGTCATGAGTGGTGCGCAGCCTTGAACCACAAGATGAAAGCGCTCGATGTGCTCGAAACGCTGGACTTTGACGATGTTGCTGCTCAGGTAGAGCTTGTCATGAGGAAGTACATGGGTGCTGAGGAGGAAGTCGCGACTCTAAGTGGACCAACTGCACCTGCCAGCATGACTAACACCTCGCTGCCTAGCGCTATCTCCAGTTGCGGCACTTCGCCTGCACTGAGCAAGCGTCTATTCACCACACTAGCGCGACCGCGATGTGGTTCGACCACCCCGCAAGCATGCTCTCCACCAACGTCGCGATACCCACATTTGTGCCAGTCGCCTACGCCATCACTCCCGCCAGCCTCGGTGCAATACGGGAGCCAGCCTACTCCGGCCTTAGGGAACGCCCCGTGTCATGTCCAGCCTGCAACAGCTAGCTTGAGGTCGACTGCGTCTACCGCAACTGCGCCCGGCTATGCCCGGCCGACGAAAGCAAGCCTGGGATGGTGCCAATCGACAGCCAGCAACAGCATGACTGCATCCAGAGTCGCGTCAGCATCCCAGTCGCACCTTCCGGCTTCTGCAACTCACGGTCTGCGGGCGACTCGGATACAACTCCAGAGAACCCCAAACGACGAGCACAGAGGCCCTTCACCTGATCTCGAACACGCTCCGCCCATCCCAACCAAGTCCATCAAGAGACTGATACCTAGAGCGTCCTCTCCGTTGCCCGCTCACCTACGCTCGGACTCAGCCACGTCTCTATCGCTGAACGACGTAGCCAGTACTCGGCGTAGTACCTGCTCTTCAATCTATACCAACAGCAGGCTTCCAGTGAAAGCCAATGGCACGAGCAATCCAGGTTTCCTTCGACCTGCCATAGCTGATGCGCAGACCGAGCATCACGCGAACACGCCCCGCGTTCCTACACCGCGACCTGTGTGCGACAAGCTCGCCGTCGGCGTTGCTCACGTTCGGGATCCCAGCAGCACCACGCATGATATGGCGGTCAGAATGGATGAGATACGCGCGAAGATGAGTCGGATGACGGCCGACATGAAGGCAAGGAAGCTGGAAAGAGAGAAGAACGCCTCGACACAAGATGAACAGACGAAAGCTAGAGATGATGCGCACGCCCAGGAAGGCTAATGAGGATAGAGATACATCAGACACCGGACGTCATTATGGGCAGCGAACACCAATGAAGTGAACGTCTCCGCGCCTACCAATTTCGCGTCCCATTCACCGATCGCGCCCCGGCGTCCCCGGTGTCCCCGCAACCGATCATCAATATGTGAATAACATACCAGTCTCGCCGATCTCAAGTATTGAGTTTGCAGGACGCGGGAAGGTGTGATGTCTCAGAGTCGCCAGATCTCACAATAGCTATACTGATCTTGGCTCACACAAGAGCCTTACACTGTGTTGTGAAAGCATGCTGATCATCTTCATCAATGCAGCCAGCATCAAGGCGCTCCCTATTCGACGGACTTCACATAGCACGTTAGCTCTTTTCCACGTCGTCTTCACACGCGTCTCGATCTCACGGCCCGTTCCCCTGCTGTACCTCGTCGCACGAAACCCAGCGTGGTGGCGCGCCCACTGCGACCTATGAGATCGCAACTCTAGGCTGCTGTACCCGCAGTGTGACTTTGCTTTCCCGTCATACTGGACCCAAGATGGCTGACCATCTCGGACCACCCGACCGCCACGCGTTCCAACCCTCACAGCTGGGTCGCCAAGAGATGGCCTTCCCGAGATGATCTGCAACAACCGCCTCATCGTGGTCATAGCCGGACTAGCGAAGCCTCGAATCACTGGCAGGGGCCTTCGGTGGTGTCGATACATTAGCGGCCTGAGTCTGGGCTCGATTACGCACGCTGCAGCAACTCAACAATTCACCGTCACATCACTATTGGCCTCAACTGGTATGATCAGATGTTATTCATGATATACGAGACTATGCCAAGACGTCAGTGTCGCTCCTCATGAACAGCAGCGTTCACACTGACCGCTACTCGCAAAGCAATCCGCGTCCCTGTTCAACGTCTCTTGTCCAAAGACCCATTCGAGGTGCGACGATAACGAAACGTCCACACCACTGACGGATGCCCGCTTGGCGAGTATGCAGGGTTCGTAGCACGATATGCAGCTCAATTCCGAGATCACCGACAATACGCTTCAAGGCGCGCGGCATCGATAAAAGATTTCAAGAACCTACAAGCACTTAAAGAAACCTTGGAACACTTCGACTTCAAGGTATAGGCCAATCAGAGTGTCTGAGAGTAACGTGGCATTCCTCCAGCAAGACCAACCCTCAACATGCCTCTCCAGAAGCCTCACCCTCAGGTGCAATCGCTCAGAGCTCAGCGCCAAACCAAGCCAGAAAGCTCACAGGAAAGACGGCGCACTCTTCATAGCATCAGTGAACTCAACGTGACTGACGTTGCGACGCCTGAGTTTTGTGCCTTCGCCGCTGCGATACAGACCCCGCCGCGAGACCGGGAACGCGCCATCAAAGCCGGAAGGGATGCTGAAACGACTATCAAACAACCAACTCGATACCGACACTTGTCGAGCTCGCAAAGCTCTAAAGCCGAAGCTGCGGGTCCTGCATCGCTGTCACATTCCACAGTAAGCCACCAAGAACGGTACGAACAGAGCCTTCATGGCAGAGGGATGAACGTGGAGGAGGAAGGCTGGAACGCCCGACGAGACCGTTCAGGCTTCCATCACAGAGGGGCAGTAACATCTCAGGAACGTCGCCGCCAGTCCCTGCAACACATCCCGCAAGACGGAAGTTATCCCAGGATGGAAAGGAACTCAGTGCGCTCTGCCTCGCAGTCCAACCTTCGATCATACTCCAGTCATCCTCAGTTACTCGCCAATGGCTATTCAATGAGCGGTTTCTTATCTTCCTCGTCGTCAAGCGGCACTCTTGACCGCCGATCCAGCGTCGGAACCATGAACAGCCAGTCATGTACCTGGTCGCATAGTCTCGAGGCTAGCGATGTGTACACAAGTGCTGGATCCTCCAATCGCGCCGCACAAGGAACGAACTCTGACTCGTTCGATAAACCGTTCAACACAGCTGAACTTCCACTGACACCCGTCGCTTTGCCATCGAGGCTGACATATCGCCAAATAACCACCGCGGCCCACGAGAACCGCCCGCGACCAAACTCAGCAGGCCCGATGCAGCTGGAACTGACTGCACCTTCGGCATCGCTGCCTACCCAGCGCATTGCTCATGTTGAAACGTCACGGCAGAACCGGAGACGCAGCATATCTCGCTCCGCTCAGCAGCAACACGAAGGCGAAATGCGAAGAGCGCGTTCGGAGTCATTTGCTGCACTCACAGCTGCGCAATCGGGGTCGTGCGGCCAGCAGCGTACATCGTATTCGCGCCTCAGCCCTTCACCAATTGAAGACGCTCTGTCCCAGCATACGCACCGCTCATCCCTCCATCGTCATGCGCAGCCGGGTACATATCACGGGCCTCCGCCGCAGAACGTTTCGACGCCCCCGCTGGCTCGCCACCCCGACATGGCTGTGGCCGCACACCGAAGTAGCCCTGGAGTCGGACAGCGCACGGTACCGACACGCGAAAGCCTGTCGCAGTGGAACTCGGAACGCGAAGAAGCCAAGATGGGCCTTGGTGACATGCGTCGCGCAGACATGAAGGAGAGGGTGCGACGCGCGAACGAGTTGGAGCTGGAGAAAGAACAGGAGCTATTACACTTGGAGAAGAAAGCCAGTGGTGTTGCGCAAGATAACGCGCGAGGCTGCTTCGGCGCAATACTACGCCTACTCGCATTTGGTTCAAAATGATAGTGACTTTAGTCCTGCATAGTCGAGCACGCTGCTCTTGCGTAAACGGATGTTGTCTTAGAGAGTGAATTGAAATAGGTAACAGAAGAAGCGCCTAGCCTTTTAGTGTTAGTGTTACGCGTATTAGCCTTACTATAGTTAGAAACCTAAATAAAGTCTATTTAGGTTATATAGTTTATACACGTAACTCTATACCTAACTTTATTTAAGGTAAACTTAAATAAAGTTTTTTTAGTAAGTAGTTCTAAGTTTAGTAGTATAAAAGTTTTATAAAGATTAGATAATTAAACTATATAAAGATAATAAAGTTATTTTAGTATTATAGTAAAGTGTTAATATAAAGTAAAGTAATAAAATATAATTAGTAACTCTATATAGTAATTTTAATATAGATATATTTTGTAAATACTTTATACTTACTATATATTATAATAGTTTAGTTTCTTAGGTATTAGGCCTATATTAGTCTAATAACCTATAGTATTTATATTTAATCTCTAAGTACTTCTTCTAAGCCTTACTATAATAATATTATAATTTAATATACTATTAACTATCTAATTTCTATAAAACTCTTATATATTATTATAGTTAATAGAACTATATAGTACTCTAGTATAATAGACTAGTTACTTCTTTATAGATTTTATAATATATTATACTATATCTCTAAACTCTTTATTATTATCTAGCGCTACTAGTATCTATAGTATCTTTTCTAAAACTTTTACTATATCTAAATAGATAGTAATCTCTAGCTCTAAGAATACTTCTAGTATTAGTATTTTCTCTACTCTATTCTTTTTTAAGTCTACTACTATATTAGTTATATATAGTGCTAATTAGTTCTAGTTCTAGTTCTATACTATACTATTCTAATAGATATTTAGATTTACTCTCTTTAGTTCTTTCTCTTTTAGCTAGTTATAGTAACTTTTATACTTAACTAGTAGTACTAACCTTTATAAAAGTAGTCTATTTAATATTTCTAGCTTTTTCTAGAATAACTTATAAGTTAATCTAAATACTTATATCTATTTACTTAACTTTAATAATAAGCTTTCTAATAGTAAAGTTAATACTACTACTATCTATTACTATAAAAACTTTATTAACTCTATAATAGTCTCTAAGTCTAAGAGTAGAAAAAGTATTATATTTAGTAATCTTTTTAATATTACTAAGAACTATAGTAAAGCTAGTAATAAGAATATTATCTAATACTATTTTAATTAGCTATATTATAGCTCTTTCTCTAGTATACTTATATATATTTATAGTAGTAGCTTCTATATTTCTAAAACTACTACTACTATTAACTAGTAGTATACTTAGAGCTTTTTTTCTTTTTTTACTAATTTTTATTAATTTATATTAACTTCTATTTCTAGAAAAGAAGCTTATCTA